AGATTTGCAATACGTCACACGTCAATACGTGTTTTTATTTGAGGATCTGTGTCGGATATCCTTAGTTTTGCATTAACAAGACAAACCAGTAGAAGAGGTGTTTGTTTGGGATAAGCATTTTGTTTAACTGAATATGACATACCTTCAGCCCCATTTGTTGACACCCCTTGAAGCCACAAACAGAACCAGGCAACAACAAAGTTTTTACTCAAAAAGAATTAAGTACAACGTTAGCGTTTGTTCTGATAAGGGAGGTTGTAAGGTATCTAGCAAACCTCCTCTTATTTTTTTAACTTGGAATTTCCTAGTGTCTTTCGGCCCTTCACATGTCATACAATTATGAATGATGAAAAAACTTGCCTTTCGATTCATGAAGGGTACTAAGTGTTTCACATTGACATCCTCACTAATACACAATTGATGTGCGGATAGAAGTGCTTTGCTTGGTCTGAAGTTCAACTTCCTTCAAGAAAACTGTTTAACCCAAGCAAACAAGTCTGTTTTGTGCTGCAAGACCACTTTTTCAAATGAGCTGAGGACCCACATTGGTTTCGGGAAAACAGGTCGGTGCCCGCCCTTAATAATTGTCTGCACCGGTACAACGACAGTGATCTGAGTGCAGAGCCTCACGGCATAGCTGATTCCTCCGAAGGTTATGACGGCAGGGTCATGGGAAAGTAACGAAAGAATGGACAATGTTTTATCGAATGTCAAGAGGTTTGGGATCGACACTCCTGCTAAGGATGACATATCGGAAAAACGGGTTGCAAAACCACACTGTGCTCTAAAGCACCCCGGTTACACACATGAGGCTCAGGACAAACACATGAAGTCTACTTGTACGGTTACTGCTTGAATGAAAGGAACGCATATGATTTATGGCGATGAGGGTGCTGGCTTATTCTGCGTGCAAACAACTCTGTCTGTCATAAGGTCGTTTGTTTGCTTGAGATCCCATCGGAAACTTATCCACTCAGTGTTTAAAGGGTCATTTTGCTCTGTGATAATCCGAGTACTGTTCTGATGGGTTAGGAAAGGACACTGTAAGTGATTTCCTTTTTAAAAATCCGCCTTAAAACAGGTCGATATTTCTATGGCTAAATGTTGGATGGGAACACGAACACAGTCTCCCTATTATTTTTTCAATGCAACATTATACTAATTACAGCAAACGATATTCAAGTGTGAAGGAAAATTATACTGACAGATGAATAGTGTCGCAGTGTACAGCTAACTCAGCCCAACATTAGCTGACATCTTAGGAACGGTTGAGTGTCTAAGTACATATATCTCAAGCTTTTTGTGCAAGAGTTATGCTGACGATATTTCGAAAATTTTGATTAATTTTGTACTATTCTCCACTCGATTCACTCAAGTCTAAATTTGTCATCGAAACGTGAGACTGAGTTTAGTTCACCCGTCAATGTTTTCTTACAACATCCACGCAAATCAATGCTGAGTGTTCAATCCTCACTATTCTCGAAAGTTTCACCGACCATTTAGAAACGCACTCCAGGCAAGACTTGAATGTACAAATTGGTAAGATGTTTAAGCCCACACAGTTTGAAAGAAGAGTTTCTGGGGGAACACGCTACCCATAGGGGTGTTGAAAGCTCTGCAACAACACTTCGTTTTCGCTCTTAATGGGGCCTAGCACACAGAAAAAGAGTTATCGAAGGATACCTTGTTAGCCAATCACTATTCAGAGCTTTTTACAAAAATTCACAAAGGTATTGAGCTTGGACCATTGTCCATTAGGCTGAAAATGGATCCGTCCATATAGTCTCACCGTTTAAGGTATCACACAAACTAAACTCAGTCGCAAAGCGAGTCAACAATGCTGCACAACTATGCTTACTTCAAACTACCAAGAGGATGGTTCTACGACCCAAGAGGGGCTAGTTCGTCGAACTTATCTGCTGCCCTTGTGATCAATAAATTTTCTTGCGGTTGTGAAGGCTTTGATAAAGACAGAGCAGACTGTCTGTTGCAGCACTTGGCTGAAAAAACACGGTGCTCTCTGGAAGTATTGGTACCATCGGCTTCGAAAGGTTGGAGATCGAATCCTGGCAAACCGATCCAGAAAGCTCGTTTCGTATTTCTCAGGTAACCGTTGGTGTAACCTATCAAATGGCATTAGTCTGAAAAAGTTGACGATTTTCTTAAGCTAGCTGGATTATAATGAGTTTATGTCTGACTATTGTTGGTCCCGGTTGTATTAGCCTGCTTGTATCACCTATCGGTACCGATCGTTTTCTATTGTCAGTCCACATAATGTGTCACATACTGAATTTACATAGCTTTCTTTCTATCGGTTTTATGCATTGCACCGCTCCTAAAGACGTTTCTACCACATGTGTCATAGTTATCCTCAGACCTGTGAAGAATGGAACTAGACATTGTGAAATTACACGAGCTTACGAAATCTCGCCAGAAGATGTTTCATTTTTCAATGGTGTTTGGAATTTGCAAGGGATAGATCGAAACAGAGCATAGTTAGCACCAACTTGAGAATTGAACTTTCTGGCGCAAGCAACGGCACTGAAAACAGACTACAGTTGTGCACAGGGAAGTAAATATTTTCTGTTTTAGAACACTTAAAACAGAACTATAAATCCGAGTGCACAAGTACCGTAGGGAATGTGATTTTGTTTTTGGTAAGCTCATTCGTTCAACCAGAACCACTGCTCTCATTTTAGAGGTTTGTTCTATTTCCAACTCATAGAAAGAAGGCTATTCCCCAGAACTACGCAGGGGAGTTACCTGACCATCTGTTTGTAATCTATTTGTAATCTCGATATGTTTGTACGCAGTAGATTATGACAACTGGCTATGCAGTCAAGGCAGCTTTTTGGTTTCCAGTAGTTGTTGAATTCCCTTTTGCTGGAATGTACAGAGAGTGAGGGTTTTTGGGAGAGGGTTAGTGAATGTCAGTGTAGGTCAGTGAATGGAAACTAATTTATGACGGCACGTTTGACAACAGAGATCATCATGACACCATAGTCGAGGTTGACATGCTTACTATGGGTCTACCGCTACAGACGATCAATTACCCTTTCTGGTGGTCGAGATCAGATAGATGATTGGTTCGCAAGTTGTGACTTGAGATGACCCCAAAACTTCGCGTGGAACATAAAGTTAAGTTCAAGGTCTGCAGGCATTTTGAGTCGCTATCTGACTATTCACTGTTCACTGAAAGCCTGTTGTTGTCGTCCGGCCAGACAATATGTACAAAGAAGGTTCAATCTATGCTTCAGCTGCACGTTTTATTGTCATGCTGCCTGACTGAATTTCTCAATACGGCAGGCAGAACCGAACCGATATGACCTTGAATGGAGTGCGACCACTATCGCCATTCAGTGCGACAACTGTACTACTCGTTCCCACAAGCTAGGGTACTACTCAAACCCGAATATATAGAAACCCCGTCTGTTTTGACATTACGTATACACAACAGTTTGGTAAATCGGTTTTTGCTCCCTACATACGAAGAACTTGTCACATCAGTTTTCAGTTGTCCCTGCCACAATAGCTGATGCCAAAAGAATCGCAGGCGAATCTACTTCAGTTGGTAGCTGAGCTTTGTATGTATCCAACGCAAAGTAGAATTTAATGTAGAGGTTAAAATCCATGCACCGACGTTATATTCAGTCCGATACGTATACCGGTTGTCGACAACTTGTGATGCATGTAGAGGTGTAACACCGAATGCGGCTAAGTTTTCATTTCACTGGAAAGCAATATTATCTAAAAATCGACGGCAGTCATGGGTTTGAGTTTTGCTGTTCATCCATTTTAATAGCGAGTGATTTACAAGCAGCCACAGGCTTTTCTGATCCATTTTTTGTTAGGTGTATACATATCTGAGGCACCGGGAGGATCCTCTTTTTCTCATACAAGTACTTGTTAGGGTGCTATCAAACGGGGCTCTTCCCATACCAGCAAGTTTACCAGAAACCTGTCCAAATTCTTCCACCCTGCTTGGCCCACACCCAATCGGACCCTACCAACTCTCACAACCAGTTCAGAATTAACCAGTGGGTCACCACCGGATAACACTCAATCGCCTAACCGTCATGCCCTACCCACGCATTCTCAGCACTGACTGAAATTGCCAAAGTAAGTCCCGTAATTCAACTACATTTACTACCCGTAATGTACGAACTCTAATGCGCATAGGTTAATATGTACTGAAGCGAATTGAAGTCAGAAAGCATTGACGAGTGCCGTGTGAGACTCAGCTGTATGTCTCCATGGACCGCCGTGGGTTTTCCAAACGCCAACTAATGCTTTATGAAGCATAGTTATTCGGAGACGTTTTCGCTGCAGTCACAGGTGAAGCCGGCGTTGGAACCGTAGGAAGTTCACTAACTAGATCCGCTCTGCTCACCTGGTCCCCGATTTAAAATGTTCAAGTGCAAACGAAGTGTGTTTGCACAGCTTTCATTTTTGTTAGTTCTGTGAGCGAAAGCATACTATTAAGTTACCTCATAAGTGCACCGTAAACCCGGATCTGTTTGACAGTTTTGCCATTCGACGGGTTCGTGCGAACACAGTTTAGACTGTCGGTCACCTTACGAAAATCGAGCGAGTGGATTAATGATAATAATAACAATAATAGCAATAGTATAATCGATTCAGCTGTAAGACCTTTTCATCACATAGTTTGCATGCCACCAGCAGAAAGAACGCCAGGCTGTCCAAACCTAGACAGGGCACTCGAGGTGTTCGGGGTTGGGTTCGAACTACGGGCTTTACGGTTAGTAAGTGCATGCCTTAACCACTGAGTACCTCGAGCTCATTACAGAATTCAATCGAAACGAACTCTTGGGCAAGACTGCCTGTTACTTAGAATAGGCGATTTCTTCTGTTCTTGATGGGTTCCCCTCAACGAAAAACCATATCTGCGCCATGAAGGCAAAATGTGGAGAGCCCTTGTTTGCCATAATATATGTAAACACTATAATGTGTATAGATATGTATATATAACACTCACTTACTTTGAGTTGCGCGGCTAGAATGCAGTGGGCTTTCTGGGTGATCTTCTGACAGTCTTTTGTAATTCATGGATGTGGGCCATGTAAAAAGTTTTTTACTTCCCGAATCACAATCTACGGAACCTTCATCCTCCGTTGACTCCACACATTCGGTACCATCTGCACACACATAGTTTGTTTCTTGACGCGCCAAAGAGCGTAGGATCATCGTGGACAACAAGATGCATCCGAATTTAATGAACATAAGTAAACCTTGTACAAGGAAAAACCAGCGATATTGAAAGTTTTGTGCTATCAAAGCAGATAAAACAGGGGACAAGGCCATGCCAACACCCATCCCACCAAGTGAGAAAGGATATGCCATATGACCTGGAAGCATGGTGAGTTCTTCACCTGCAGGAAATAGGAAGGTTATTGATGGTCCCAGGCAAAAACCACACAAATAAGCCAGAAAATGACTCAGGGCAACGTTCGCTGCCCAGAATTCCCATGCACACAGAGCACATCCCATTATCAAACTAGTCACGAGGAGGATGTAGCGTAAGCGGTTTTTCAACAAGTCTCGTGTTAGGCCAGTCACAACAGCTCCAATGACGTACGTGGATGCCTCACCAGCTGCAAATAATGTGGTTAATAATGCACTGCGACTCAAAGATGTCTCACGGCGGTACATATAATCAGCCAGGTTCAATAACATCCCATATGTTACTACACTGGTAAATATCCGATCAATGAACCATAGAATCAGCAGGCAACTCCTCTGGAAAGATAACTGAGTCCGTCCCAAGAAAGCATATTTGTCATTCCTGTAATCCGGTTTGCTAGCATCCTTTTGAAAAACACACGTGCCCGTCAGGAGCACGAAGAAATAGATCACTCCAAGAACGACAAACGCATTTCGCCACCCCATTGATTCGATGAGATAAGCATAGAATTCTACAAATACGATGGATGCAACAGAACCACCAGACACTAATGTAGTGGCTAGAATGTGATACCGGTGATTTTTATCAAAATGTTCATTCACAACCAGTCCGGCGGTACTCAAAACCAAAGATGATCCTATTCCATGTAGGATTGTGTGCGTCAGGAAGAGCCAGTGTGGATTTGGTACGTATGCGCTCGTGATGCATGCCAACAGAACGCACACAGCACCAAGCAGTTGTGATATCCGGAATCTGCGTCCTCTGGCAAGTATTGCAGATGTGGACAATGACGTGGTTAGGTAACCTATAGCCGCATAGGAGTCTCCAATCCAGTTAAGTTCAGCTAGGCTTGTCTGATTATATTCCGCATGCAGCTGAGCGACAAATATTCCGAAGGCACGTCTTTTCCCGCCAAGAAACACCACGGACAATGCTGCCGTGGCAAGAATCAACCACGGTAGATACGCCCGGGCCATCGACGCGTAAATGAGATGCCAAATCAGTTTTCCATTACTTGAAGGACTGTCACAATTCCACCAATCGGAAATGAAACAGGTCTGATTTACCCCGTTCTGATTGGGCGGTAGACAGCGAACACGCTGATTGGATGAGCACATGTTGCTTGCACTGGAGACAGCGTGCATCGATTGACAGCACATTGAATTTTTTAAGCATGACGTCGAAGGGCACAAGTGCCACTTGCACTGCTTGTATGGAAAACAGATGGAAAAGTCATAGTGCGCGGTACCATTACGGAAACCCACATATATTTGGCTCCCGACATGAATCGGACAAAGCCCAACCCCAAGGTTGACAACACGACAGTTATAACATCTGAACACTATTTTAACTCATATCCATCCTATACAACGTTTGGTTGAAAGTGATTTGACCATCTTAGACTGCTTTGTCCCTAGTAGGACCTTCTTTATTCTATGGGCTCCGAACTTTCAATCTTCAGAATTCATGCTTACGCTCTAACCACTTCTAGTTGTGATGACTAATTTTAGGTCTGACCGTCATGAGTTGGGATGAGGGTGGAAATACGCAAGAAACAACACACATGGCTGAGACTACGCTAACCAGTAGGCATTTCAAAAACTCAAATTTCTTGTTTGAGTAGGCTCACTTAGAAAGAAAAAAACTAAAGTAGGGGTGCATTCAAAACTTTAGGAAAAGTTTCGGGCAGGCCTGTAATTTTTGTGAGATGGAACAATGCGTGTATGATTAGGGAACAGAAATATAAGTATACGAGGAATTAAATGATTTGCGTTGCATACAGAATGCCTAAGGGGTGGATTTAATGTCTGTGATGATACTGCCGAGTGAGGCAACTGAGAGATTAACAGGCTTTCTTGTGCAGAATCCTGATACAGTTTGAATACAGAATGTTCTTCAGTCAGCTGCATACACATTTGAGCAAAGCCATCTTTTCTTATTCTTCGGAGATGTACACAAATGTACACACAAATAGATATACTTGGCACGTTTTCCACACAGAAATAGGTCAAGACCATAGGAGCTTGTGGTGTTGTGGTGTTGCAAGCTGGCATAGGATTTAGAACAGCATCATCAATTTGCACATGTGGGGTGCCTCATAGTGGATATCTTTAATTCGGCTCCCTAGCCCCGTTTTCTGCTGCTTCTGCTGGTTTGTCGAGTAATATGTAAACGTTCCTTTAAAAGCCCGATTCAAAAGGCTGCTGAATATGGCGACTTAAAAGTACGACATAAGAAGTTCTGCAGCAACATTAATGAGAATTTCATGGCTAATTGAATACGAGTTGTGTCAAGAGCCCAAAGTTACCAACAGCCCATATTCTTTGGGAGTCTTCTTGAAAGCGGTTTTAAAAATGAAAGTACTCAGCAGCTACCAATACCGGTTAGGAAAATTCTACTTATTCGTTAAGATACTGTCCAAATGTCACGATAGATGTGTGAGTTCTGTGATGCCTATGACAAAGCTTGCACTAGATTTAATAAAACGTTAATAATATGCACATATCCAGAGACTACCGGGTGAATTAACTCCTGAAAAGTTATGAACAACCCACCCATCCATGCGAAATTTAGCTTTGAAAGCGACAGCTAACGCTTTTGGTTGCTGTTCATGTACGCACACACATCATTTAATCAGTCAATATATTCTGGGCAGCTCTGGTGAATTGCTGACGTCCTACTTGATGTCTTCGGTAACATGTCCTTTTCCGCATGCGTCACAGCTGACTGCAAACGCCAAAAAGTTGACGAAACCGTGCACTGCACAACAGGCCTCAACACCTACACTTGGGTTAAAAAAACCGTCATCGAAATGTGAAGGCCGTTTTCTAACGAACAATGTACAAATAAACATTTTGTTCATCATTCTTACCTGCTACTTTTATTGTCAATTCTCCTTTGAACAAATATAAAATCGATGATCTCGGCTGTTCAGGCGTAATTCAGCATGAAGAATAGATGTGTCCATTTTCTTCTTAATGCTGTATGTGTAGCAAGCGTTGACACAATTTGTGGTCTTTCCATCCTTCAAAACAACATAGTCAAGTTTGACGAACTGGTCCTACCGACACAGATGCCGAACCTTCATAGGAATGCACAGGTGAACAATGTACCTGCTGAAAGGTATGCTGTTTGTTTTGTCCTTCCAGACAGAACCGTGGTGCTTTTCTGTGGTGAGCAATAGGTGAACCTTCTTTGTTCCGGAAATGGCGTATTGAGTGTCGGTGACTATATCGACCTCATTTATTTCCTTCCACACATTTAGCAGGACGGTTCCGTATAGAATGAAATCGGGGCACGTCTGAATATTCTGAAAATCGATTTCGAAGCTGCCGTCAGGACGCCGAACAACTGATCCTGCACTATATATGTCACGGTATTTCAGGCTGTTATTCAGCTTTTTTTCACATTTACCCAATCCCAACCAGTCGGTCGACATGCTGGTTCAGACTCCGAAAACTTTGGACTAGTCCTTGTTTACGGAAGAGTCACTTAGGTGGAAAACTCGAAGCAGCCAAGAGGGTGGAATGCGTCAATTGGCACAGAATGGAACAGTGATGCATTTTCAGGCAATTTTTGTGACTTCAGGTGGCTTAGATGAATCAGCTTATGTGGTCGTTGATGTGTTTACATACTTCGAGAACACTCCAAATGAAATTCGGTTCCTTTAGATGACAAACACTGCACTTGTCTCCTTTAGGGTAGGCTTAAACTCTTATGGGGAGATGGTTTAAGTGGTTAGAGCGCGGATTTATTCACCAGAAAGTTAATGGTTCGAACCGGACCTCTACCTCTCGTCTTCCCCTGTCTAGGTTTGGATAACCTGACAGTATCCCAGCCTTCGTGCCCCCTTTGGGTGGCATGACAGCTAGGCACCAAACGGGTATTACAACTGAATGATTATTATTATTATATTATTATAAACTCTTATTTTCCGGCTCCGTTGAATGTACAATGGATGATATGTAATAAGTGGTTCATACGGGAACAACACCTGATTCTGTTGAATCAACTCACCAAAGCTATCTGCAGGGAGAAATGTGCTAAATCGAATTCTCCATCTTGCCGCGTTCCTTTTCGAGGCCGACTATTTCCCGCTGTGCATCTTGAAGATGTCGTCTCAGTAGTATTCGCTGTTTCATACATGGTTCAAACATGCTGAGTTAAGAAGACATCCGCTTAAAAATTGACCATCTTATTCACTAGCTGGTTTCTCGGGTGAAAATCAAATGCTGATCAATGGTGTGCATCGGAAAATGAGGTTCTCAACCGCACTACACAAAAATTCAGATCCTTGAAGAAGCCATACCCGAGGCATCTTATTCTCAAGTTTGAAAATCTGGTGAACTGCACCAGAAAGAATTTTCACCATACGACCTTGTAAGTGAACAGAAGATTAATTAAATTGGCTGCAAATACTGACTCTCAGGTACAGCTGATTAGTGCAGCATCACAAATACCTTTGCAATCATGTATTGACTATGTGTTGCCATGAGGTCAAGGATATTGAATATGTGGAATAGTGTGGATTACAATGGGCTGATTGGGTTTGTGTTACGGAGCAGACACAACCATGGGAAACACGACACAACCTACGCACTCTTTGCTCTTTTTTTCTATATTACAACTTCGTCTCTGTACTCTTGACGCGAAGATGACATGTATTCGATTTCACCACTTGACTCTTATCCGTGTCGGTTTCTAGCAGAAAGGACCGATAAGGTATCTTCGGCTTATTAGGATCAATCCCTGCAGATATCAAAAAAACTAGATTACCAAACTTCACTTCAGCTGTTCAGTCGTGTTTGCAGTGTGCTACCGAATAGCACGACGCCCTTTTTTCTAGACGAAGTGAACAACATTTTTTAAAGTTGGACCTTGCACTGAAATATTATGAACATGCTATAAGTATATCTTCAGGTCACAGAATTCTACACGGAACACTTTTGTTGAAAGAAGGCAGCTGATATTGCAATATTGCATATTAGTGGAACGCAGAGAGTGTGCAGGTAGCAGAGAGATTCTAAAGCTCTACTTGGAACTTTCTCCCATAGCGAAAAGCTGAGAAGCGCTGTTCAGTCATTTTATTCTGCCAAGCACCAGGTGCAATGCATAAATCACGAATCCCTAGGGCTATGTAAGCCTGGAAATTTTCGACAGCGAGTAGCCGATCAGCACCGTGACTGGCTTTTACCGGACAAGATATAGACACTGCTACTGGTTCATCAATCATCTCAAGCAGTTAAGTGTGTTAATTGGAGATGAGACTTCTATGTTAGAAGACCCAAGTAATTTTTCACTTACGAGCAGGTTTATCACAGTCATAGGTTTTGAATCGATTGAGGAAATAATTCCTGCAAGTCAGTGTGAGATGAAGAATGTAGAAGCACCAGACAGGTTTTTCTGTCGTTGATGAGAATCACCGACATCTCACTGACCCTGGGAGGGATTCCATACTTAAACCTCGTGATTGGTGGAACAAAATTACCGTATACGTCTCGGATTTCGACAATAGAATATGACTTGTTTGAGCATTTTTTCTTGCTCTTCTTTTTCCCTCACTTCAATTGCATGGGCGTTCTACTCCTCTCACACCAATCATTGATCCCACTGGTCACGCTGCAGAGGGTCCCAGGCCAAGAATTTTCGGTGCATCAGACTTGCATACAGTATATACGCATGATAGTGTTTCGTATGTGCTCCCACGTGATTGATGTCCTTCTTCGTCGATTAGGATTTTCTCAGTTAGAGCAAAGACTTTGTCACGACTTTATCACGAACTATTCAGTGTCTTGGGCGGGCAGTTCAACAGAATTACTGGGAAGGTTTCGGGAAACTTTATAACACAGAACATTATCCTGAAGGCGTACGACCGTATTTGTGAACTTCCTTTTCCGAGGACTACAACAAGCTACGACAAAGTACGTACTAAGACAAAAGTCTAACGTCCTAGTGAACCTTTTGGCTTACCGGTTGCGCTTACCGTTTGCTGACCAGGTGGGTGCTGATCTGCTCAGTTCTACTTTTCAAATTAAGCTACCCACAGTTGGGTAAAAAGGTGGATGAGACCATGAGAATTGAAAACCACCTTTTGTTTTTATTTCAAGTCTCCCCATAT